CCAAAAGGGTCTGCTCCCATGTGTGGGGGGACCAAGAGAGACCCGCGCAGGCGAGGCTTCTCTCACAACCAAGTCTAGTCAGTCACGCTTTCACCTCGGAAAATGATTTTTGTTTCCAATTTGGTTCTGCAATCTTGTCTTTGGAGCTCCGCGATGATAATGTTGATGTGGGGGGGGGGGATGGTGGTGGGTGGGGTGGAGTTGATGGTGGTGGTGGTAGTTAGTAGTGGTGGTTGTGTTTGGTGGAGAGTTGGAATAGGGTGGTGGTAGTGGTGGTAGTTTTGGTTGGGGTGGTGGTAGTACTGGTGGAGGTGGTGGTGGTAGTAATGGTGGTGATGGCGGTAGTGGTGGAGAGTGCAGACGCATTTATCAAAACAAATAAAACATGTGATTGACAATACCAACAAATCACACCGCCAGAAGAGGCTACCAAACTAAACCAACAACTGGCAGGTATTGGTTTAATGTTCCACACATGTTCATCCACATGATGATGTACCTGTACGACGCAACACATGCGCATTGAACGAAAACAGACCCAATAAATCCCAGTAACCCAGTGTCCATAAATCCCACTAAACCAGCCCCAATGAATCCTAGTACCAGTTCCAATAAATCAAGCCGACTTTACAGACTAGCCGAGTACTCCATCAAATCAAAACATTGCAAAAAAACGGGAAGCGCGGTATGTGGCCCAAATATTTACTAGACACCTACACCCCTATGCCATTTGAGGACAGTTCGACGACCATTGGTCATGTGCGTGAAGGTATGCATAGGTAATAACCCACGATCATGACATCCCAACCTTTATCATAGGACAAATTGCCTGGATTACAATTCCCTGCATCATTCCCCAATATTAAATTACCTGTGTTCAACTCGTGTCGGATAAAGTAGACACTAGAAAAACACAAAGGTCAACAGGAAAACAAGTCCACTTTCTCTATTACAGGACTCTGTTTTTTTTTGCGAGTTTGTACTCTCCTGTTTGTAATTACGTGAACCAGCGAGTATGTGTGTACACACAAGACAAATATGACTTGTCCAAATATGGATAAGTCATATTTGAGAGTATGCAGAGTTGCTCGTAATATTCGACCCTCCATCGTGCCAATACTAAAATTCAACTGTCTTAAATCTACTAAAGACGAGTATCTTTATAGATACATTATAAACAGTATTGCGCTTCAGTCACCTCAGGGAGACTGAGAGTGTGCGAGGGCGTACATGTGAGTGTGGAGATTATAAATAACCTGCTGGATGTACAGAATAAATGGTTTAGAATCTCTTTTGTGTGGATACCACCGCAGGCCTCAGCATCCCCATCTCTGTTGTGAAGACTATATTGCTTCAAACATTCGGCTCTGATAAGAGAACTTAAAAACTCTTTTATATTGGTGCCTAAAAGTACCAATATAAAAAATGATGATGTATTTAGTTCTGAATCCTGTGTGTATATGGGCAGCACAAAACGTCCACCAGACTGTGCGACACAGTGGTTGCCAGGATCAGGTTGGGTTACCTGTGGCAGGTGGCTACAGGTGACGGATCTCCCAATCCTGAGCACTCCAGGTGCAAACTCTGTGAGCAGGAACTGGGGCATGATCTCGCACACTACATCCCTGAATGTCCAATCATTAGACCCTTCAGACCAGCGGGTATGAGGTACCTGGAGCTTTGTAATTTGAGCATTTTATTACCTCTCGTGTTCTTGAGGATATCCTGATAATGCTACCGAAGCTTGCCGGTACAGGCTGCTGCTCACATGACCCTGTATGACCAATCATCATGTAAGATGGAGACTTAATACCACATAGCTAGCACGTTCCAACCTATTTAACCCCTTTATGTAGCCTAGGGCAAGTATGACATAAAAAAAAGGTGTGTGGATGCATAACATACAACCTGTGAATGTGTTGTGCATAATACACTATACATCGTCCTGTACATTATACACATGTACATTGTGTATTTCCTATAAAGTGGGTTTTAACGAGCAGCTGGATAATCGCGTGCATATTTTGCGAGAGTTTTTATATATATATATATATATATATATATATATGTGTGTGTGTGTGTGTGTGTGTGTGTGTGTGTGTGTGTGTGTGTGTGTGTGTGTGTGTGTGTGTGTGTGTGTGTGTGTGTCTGTGTGTGTAAGAGCTTTAATCACGTGTGTAAGTTATTGTGAGTGTCAGGTGAAAACCACAGGACAGTCAAGAGATATGATGGCCAAGGAACCTGTCTGGACATACATGGACCCCCTAGCGGTGGCCGGCGGCTAACACACGCTGTTGAACCACATTGAACGATCAGGCGAAGCAGGGCAGGGCAGGGCAGGGGAGCCCTATTCATATCCCTGATCGTCGGGATATCCAGTCTTGGCACCATTCACCCATCGACTCTTTCTCCGACGCTCTGAGTCATCATTCAATAAGGGTCGAACCCAAAATTACTGTGTGTGCTAACACGATAAGAGTACACCGCTACGCCAGTGTTGATGTTACGTGGCGGTCACGTCTCGTGCTTCCTAGAGGGAGGGAGGGACGAATGCAGGATTATTACAATTAATATACAAACGTTCAATATCCCGGATTTGAAGCGATCCTTTCCTCAAGATGCAACACTCCTGTCAACACAGGGCAACACTCCTGTCCAGAGAGAGTAACCTCTCCCTCACAACAAGGACCGTCTCACAAAAAACCGGTTTAAATAACCTGAAGCAAATCTGAGGCAAACAGGTGACTGGTGCGTGTTTTTACAGCTAATTCTGTTACGAATTGAAACTAACAATGGATATACAAAACAAGAGAGAGAGAGAGAGAGAGAGAGAGAGAGAGAGAGAGAGAGAGAGAGAGAGAGAGAGAGAGAGAGAGAGAGAGAGAGAGAGAGAGACAGAGAGGGGGGTGGGGGGTGGGGGTGGAGGTTGGAGGCACATATACGTACATACAAAGCGAAAGACACAGAATAGTAATCGATAATATTGCCTGGCGGAATATTTCACTATTGATAATAAGACGAGCCGTTGCGGCCACCAGGAGGTCCATAGTGTTACAGAGTATATGCAGGTGACATAGGTGGGAGGCGGGTGTGTATGCATGCTCTGGGACACTCTACACTCTCTTACGTCATCACCACCAGTATATCTTGGCTTTATACCCAGTCTTGGCCACGCTTTCTCAACACTGGCATATCCGTGCTTGTCCCTGTGCTTGTCCCCTGTGCTTGTCCCCTGTGCTTGTCACTTTCCCCTGTCGCTGTACACGTACCTGTCTCTGAACATATGCCAGCGCCTGCGCGTGTATCTTGAACAAATGAGCGCCGTTTTTACATAAACGAAAAGTAAACAAAACATTAATTGAAGTGTTGGAAAAGGTTAGAGTCATAAGCTAACCTCGAGACGGGGTCCAAGCTTGCCCCGAAACGGGTCTAACCTTGCCCCGAGACGGGACTAAGCTTTTCTCATGATGAGTCTAAACCTGCTCCCTATTAACAGTCAGCCAAAACTCACAGCCCATTTAGAATGTCAGCAATCATCATCACCAAACATCAGTCATCAAAACGATGAATTGTAACTTTCTAGAAAGTATAACGTAACATCATTTACAATTATACGATTAATTGGGTTTCTAAGGTTGGATATTAAGTTATAAAATATAATCCAGATATTAGGTAATCTGTGAGACGTACAACATCCTGGGCACATTTGTGTGTACTCTAGGGGGGGGGGGGTGTTGGGAGTACTGAAGTACATCCGGCCTAACCTGTGTGTACTTATATTTAGAGGTAAAGGGAGCCTTTCTTACCTACATATGGAGCAATTAAAGACAAAAAAAAAAGTAGAATGAAAGGCTGTTGGACACATACACACACACACACACACCCACCCACCCACCCACACACACACCCACACACACACACACACACACACACACACACACACACACACACACACACACACACAAAGGTTCCAGCCTCCACCAGCCAGGGGTAGAGGGAACAACGGATGCTGCTGGTCTATCCCATCGATGAGCGACCTATCCCATCCGGGCGGTAACGGATGTACGCAATGTATCTACGCTCAGGTGGGGTGCGTAATGAGCACACTGGAGTACATCAGGGAGTGGGGGGGGGGGGGAAGGTGTACATTGTATGCGTCGCCTCTTTATTGATTCACAGTGGAACTGATGCACTCGTTTCCCCCTGTTTTGAGGGCCTTCCTGGGCGTGGTGCTCCCAGGACCTTTGTTATCACAACCATCACAGGAGGTATATATAAACCGAGGAATATATATATATGTATATATATGTATATATATATATATATATATATATATATATATATATATATATATATATATATATATATATATATATATGATAGGTATGAGTAAAAAGAGTTTACTTCAGTCCGAAATATTTTTGTCCGGGACTAAAGTATGCTTGATGGCTGGTCAATAAGGTGTAAGGTGTTGTGGTGGCCTTAATAGTCAGCCTCACACTAATAACTGTCTCAACTAGCCACATGCTAGCTACAATAGTCGCACAGGTCATACTTGCCCTTCACCTTCTCCACCTTCGGCGTTATATCATGACTATTTGAGAACTTACAGACTTTAAGTTCCTTCGCTGGAAAGAATCTGTAGGGGCTTCTAATATACCGAAGACAACAGTCAATTAACTTATATACACAAAATTATATTTTGACGATGACAAATGGTAATATATAAACCAGCATAATATCAAACAGCAGGAAATAAGTCATTTACAGAATCAAGATAATGGGAGGTGACCCATTCTTTGGTGTAATGATATGAGACGTCAATTGGTAATTAGTTAAGGTAATAAACACTTGGATATGATAACAAGGAACTAGGATATTGATGGTTCCTAGTTATCTATACCAGAAGTGGGTTTGGAAGGGATAGGTAGTGGCAAAGAAGGATAGGGAGTGGGGCGGAGGAGGGATGGTGGAACTAAGAGGATCAAAACAACACCTACCTGCTGTAGGGGTCCAGATCGATGCTGTTGTAGTCCCTGTTGACAAAGGGTGAGTGGAAGAATTAGTACTACATCACACACCAGCATGCTCACACCTCGACACACATGGGCAAGGCTTATACACCACACAGGGTCACACCAGAGTAAATGTCATGCCAACCAAACCGGGATTGATGACAAATACTAAACTTATATATTTAAAACAATCTCTTACTTTTTCCCTATTATTGGTTCTAATTAATTTGTAATATCTTTTATTAAATATGTAAACAGGCATCGATGCAGTAAAAAGATAAGAGGTGTTTTCGAGAGGTGAGATGAGATGCTGTGAGGTGAGATGAGATGCTGTGAGTTGAGATGATGTGATGCGAGGTGAGATGAGATGCTGTGAGGCGAGATGAGATGCTGTGAGGCGAGATGATGTGATGCGAGGTGAGATGAGATGCTGTGAGGTGAGATGATGTGATGCGAGGTGAGATGAGATGCTGTGAGGTGAGATTAGCTGTTACCGGCCCTGCTGGGGCGCGACATGTCAAGCACGACTGCTCCTACCTACCGTCCACCCTTTGTTGCCAGTCTGGGCCACTCTTCATGCTATTTCCTCACCATGACGTGACCCATATGAGGAATGTGGGCGCGTCGGTCAACATCAACACATATATACACATACAATAAGAATTATCCGCGGGGAAATTATATTATTCCCGAACAGGTCAACAATCTCTGCCTGCAGCGAACATCTTGAGCGTTATATTGACTTTTTAAAGGCCTCAATTTAATACAGAATTCATCTTTACTTTCAAATGAGGAAACCTGGGGACTCGGCTAGCCATTTTTCACCGATGTTGAGGGGGAAGCTAAAGCCATCTCCTAGGAAAAACAGGACGACCCTAACCAGCCTACGTCCGTCCTGTACCTCAGACCAGTCTCCCTGCACAGTTGGGTGCATCTGGCCTCCACGCTTGGCCAGGCAATTCTCTTGTATTCTCTTGTATATCATTAAATGCATCTCTGCAACATCCACCCATCCCAGGTCAGTTTAATCATCTAGTTTACCACGACAAATAATACAACGAGTCATCATGAAATAATTCAACATTGATCAGTGATGAATATTGCTGCGGTTGGCGCCTAGATACAGGTGTTTCGGATCTACTGGGAAGCTGCTTTACTGTTGTGTTGTGATCCCTGGCACCAGACCTCAGGCTCGGCTCACACTTACTCAGGTGAGATTTGTCAGTGACATTGAGGATCACATTGGTACAGGATTAAAACACATACGATATATTATATATATATAAATATATATATATATATATATATATATATATATATATATATATATATATATATATATAGATAGTAGGGGATTAGAACACATAGGGATACATATATATATGGCAGTAAATCCTCGTCCTACATTTGATATAATTTTACTTTAAATACTTTAGTAAATTGCTTGAAATCAGAAACATGACATACACTCATGTTAATATATTAATACCAAGTATTATTTCTACTGATCAGTACAGACGCGAGCTTCCTCCCAAGCCACATTTACAGTACCAGAAATTCTACAGGTATATTTTTAAAGCCGACTATTAGTCAACAGTGAAAGTGTTTCAGCCGAATGCCTTATCTGAGATTGTACTGTGACTGCCACTTACGTACACACTGTGAATGTGCTGACAGTGAGCAACAAGTAAATGAGAATATACAATGGCCATTAAATGACTCTGAAACAAGTTCTAATTCTTTGTTTACGTGAAACCATGTTCAATAGTTTCTAAGCTTTCTCAAGTCAGGAAGAAGACAAAGTTTCTGCCTGAAACAACTTCTTTTACTAGAGTTAAGCAGTTATTTCAGTGTTTAGAATTCAATTAGCATTTACAACAATAACAAAGAAACGGGAGTTAAATACAACAGCTGTGGGGATTTTGTAGGAGCAACACTCATACACAAAAACATCAGAGTTCCCTCAAATTTATTCCCGGATTAGCAGAGTAGAGGTGGAGGATTAGCAGGGTAGGGGTGGAGGATTAGCAGGGTAGGGGTGGAGGATTAGCAGGGTAGGGGTGGAGGATTAGCAGGGTAGGGGTGGAGGATTAGCAGGGTAGAGGTGGAGGATTAGCAGGGTAGAGGTGGAGGATTAGCAGGGTAGAGGTGGAGGATTAGCAGGGTAGGGGTGGAGGATTAGCAGGGTAGGGGTGGAGGATTAGCAGGGTAGAGGTGGAGGATTAGCAGGGTAGGGGTGGAGGATTAGCAGGGTAGAGGTGGAGGATTAGCAGGGTAGAGGTGGAGGATTAGCAGGGTAGAGGTGGAGGATTAGCAGGGTAGAGGTGGAGGATTAGCAGGGTAGGGGTGGAGGATTAGCAGGGTAGGGGTGGAGGATTAGCAGGGTAGAGGTGGAGGATTAGCAGGGTAGAGGTGGAGGATTAGCAGGGTAGAGGTGGAGGATTAGCAGGGTAGAGCTAGAGGATTAGCAGGGTAGGGGTGGAGGATTAGCAGGGTAGAGGTGGAAGGGTCAGCATGCTGCAGGAAGAGAGTGATAGATAGCGCAGACAGGAGCCAGTAGACCTACCTGGGCAGGCTGGAGGTCATGGGGTCGACCTCGAAGTGGTGCTGACGACGACGGTCAAGGGTGGCATAGCGGGACGACCCCACGTCCGAGTCGTAGCCTTCAGGCTCCGACAGGTAGCCGCCATACCGCGCTGCAGTGTACAAAATGGAAATTGTTCAATTATCTTCTGTACGACAAATTGGAGTCGCTTTTAGCACCGCCTCCTTTAAACACTGCATGAAATATTAACATGAGAGTCTGAAAAGTTAAAGTTACTCTTCCAAAAAACGAGTTTTGTTTAATAATCTCTTGTATTTTGAGAGGAATACAATAGGAGGTGGTCTGGCAAATGCCTCAATGAGAAACATATTTATCTGGAACTCAAGACATACCTCAGTGTGCTTGATCAAAGTCAAACAGATAAAAGCAAGGAGTTCATGCGGGGATGTCAATCACCGCCACACTTGACACTTCCCTCCCACGATAGGGAATAATTAACCCTTTAGGTCAATTATATTAACCCAAAGTGTTCTATTAGTGACTTCTTCTCTCCCTTAGGCGATGAGACCAATAGTGTCACTCTAACTATATGCTATTGAAGTAAAGGCACCACCAGGAGCCATCAAGCATTTACCCCAACTACTGACGAAACCTCTACATCTTTTCTCAATCATGGCGTGCTTGTTTCACATTTATTAAACAGTTTACGAGCTCCGAAGCACTACGAGCTTGTTTATAACAATGAATTGTGAAGTTTTAGAACTCATAGACTATCTAATAAATGAAGACAAAGCCGCCATGATTGAGACAAGATGGGACAGGTTTCGTACGGGTGTGAAAATGCTTCACGAATACTAAAACTGAACGGTAGAGCGACGGTCTCGCTTCATGCAGGTCGGCGTTCAATCCCCCGACCGTCCAAGTGGTTGGTCACCATTCCTTACCCACCGTCCCATCCCGAATCCTTATCCTGACCCCCTCCCAGTGCTATATAGTTGTAATGGCTTGGCGATTTCCCTTGATAATTCTGTCCCTCTCGTAAGTGCTTGCGTAACTGCTTCGTGAATCTGGACTCCAGGCTGGCGGCCAACGATGGGAGTATCCCACAACACAGATCACTGTACTGTGTCCTCTTTCAGTACTCAACCAACCAATAAGCAACCTTTCCCCTCCCACCGGCATTAGCGTTTCTCTATTATCCTTTTTTTTCAACGCCATACACCCTTCCCCCTCCCTAACTCTCCCCCTCCCTCCCTATGTCCTCTCTCCCCTGCCCATCCCTCCCCCCCCCCCCTCAACTGACCCTTCATGGTGTTCACCCTGGCTGTTAAGGTTGGCGTGGTGGGGAGAGAATGAATTACATGTCGGAGATTAAGCGCAAGGTTCCGGTCAATAAATCATGGGGAGGGTTGTTGGGTGTTGGGTTAGTGGTGATTAGTGGTAGTTGGTGTCTAGTTAGTGGTGGTTGTTGGCTAGTTAGTGGTGATTAGCGAAGGTATACTATCTTATATATATATATATATATATATATATATATATATATATATATATATATATATATATATATATATATATATATATATATATATATATATATATATATATATATATATATATATATATATATATATATATATATATACACACTTTAAAGTCGTATCCCATTGGTGAATATTATTTCCTTAAACTTTTCCAAGATCCCCATAATTTGCGGCTTAATATGCCTTAAGACATGCAAATTGATAACATGTATCTTTAAGAAATATTTGACAAATATGACTGCAGTATACTGTATAATGGAGTGCTACGTGTTATATTTAAATATACTTCATAATTACGAGTTTTGCGAGTGACATTGTAAATAATATTGGTCTCATTAGCCTAAAGGAAATGTGTCACACACTAGGGACAACATGTTGCCAGTGTCACACACTAGGACATGTTGCCAGTGTCACACACTAGAGAATGTGTCACACACTAGGACAACATGTTGCCAGTGTCACACACTAGGACATGTTGCCAGTGTCACACACTAGGACATGTTGCCAGTGTCACACACTAGGACATGTTGCCAGTGTCACACACTAGAGAATGTGTCACACCCTAGGACAACATGTTGCCAGTGTCACACACTAGGACATGTTGCCAGTGTCACACACTAGGACATGTTGCCAGTGTCACACACTAGGACATGTTGCCAGTGTCACACACTAGGACATGTTGCCAGTGTCACACACTAGGACATGTTGCCAGTGTCACACACTAGGACATGTTGCCAGTGTCACACACTAGGACATGTTGCCAGTGTCACACACTAGAGAATGTGTCACACCCTAGGACATGTTGCAAGTGTCACACACTAGAGAATGTGTCACACCCAAGGACAACATGTTGCCAGTGTCACACACTAGAGAATGTGTCACACCCTAGGACATGTTGCAAGTGTCACACACTAGAGAATGTGTCACACCCAAGGACAACATGTTGCCAGTGTCACACACTAGAGAATGTGTCACACCCTAGGACATGTTGCAAGTGTCACACACTAGAGAATGTGTCACACCCAAGGACAACATGTTGCCAGTGTCACACACTAGAGAATGTGTCACACCCTAGGACATGTTGCAAGTGTCACACACTAGAGAATGTGTCACACCCAAGGACAACATGTTGCAAGTGTCACACACTAGAGAATGTGTCACACCCTAGGACAACATGTTGCCAGTGTCACACACTAGAGAATGTGTCACACCCTAGGACAACATGTTGCCAGTGTCACACACTAGAGAATGTGTCACACCCTAGGACAACATGCTGGCAGTGATCCACTGATCAAACACTGATACAGTCACAGGAAGCAGATGGGGGGCTCAGCAAAATAAACCACAAGAGGTTCTCGTGTGATTCTGAATTAAGCTGCCAACTTTATGATTCAAGATTCATCTCACAGTGCTTACCTCAGCCAATCATAATAATTTTTGTCCCATTTATTCTTAGGAGTGCAAGAATTTTTTTAGATAATGTTAATAATCTGCACTTGGAAAAAACAATTTGAAGTCACCTTTTTTTCCGAAAACCTTTTGTTAAACAATGCTACTACTATTCTAAGCCAGCGAAATACAGAGCCATATGGGCCTAGGTTATAAACGGCTAAGTTAATATTTAAAGACGAAAAATAATATAATTCTATGCGCTGGTTAACACGACCATTCTACAGCTATGGGTAGAGTCATAATACTGCATGAGCAACCCAAGAGGGTTTAAGAGCATGCAAAGGAGAAGGAACTTAAGGTTAGTGTGACAGAATGCATTTCTCCAGCTCCGAGACTTTTATACCTTTATTTTGCCTGTATTTAGACCTAGGAGTGTCTGCAAATAATTGGAGAGCAAAACCAAATTAGGTAATGAGATCAGCTGATAAGATCAATAAATTTTGGAAAACATTAATATAGAGGGATAAAGAACATTATTAGCATTGGAAGGTAGAACATTTTTTAACAACCACCAAAAGAAAAATTAAAGAAAGTAATTAATCAACAAAAACATTAAAAGTATCATTATTCCCTTTCATATCTGACTACCCTCCATTTACCCAAATATTAAAAAGACAAAAAACAATTAGAACACACCTTTGAAAAACATAAAACGTAGCATGAACATGTTATATACACGGTCCACGGGAGAGAGAGAGAGAGAGAGAGAGAGAGAGAGAGAGAGAGAGAGAGAGAGAGAGAGAGAGAGAGAGAGAGAGAGAGAGAGAGAGAGAGAGAGAGAGAGAGAGAGATATATATATATATAGTTCTGGTGATCTCTAGGCACTAATGCAGGAGAACATAAGAGCCCCATTCAAGGAAGCCAACAAGATGACTGAGACTAGAAAGAGAGAGAGAGAGAGAAAGCGATAGGAAATAAGCTGCTAAAAAAGGGTCTTGTAATTTTTGTACTCATGTGTACCTCTGGGGACTTTGTATTTGATGATGATGTGGTCGTCTGAAATCAGAGAGGTGCTTTAAGGACACACACAACGTCATGACATATTTGACAATCACTGGACCTACACATCTAAGAGGAATTCATCAAATATTCATTTATTTGATGAATTGACTCCCATCAATTCATCAAATTGACGGGAGTCCATGATGGGGAAGGTGATTTATAGACTTTGGAGAATACACAAATTATAGATATTGCTTCTTAATATAGTCAAATTATGGATATACTGTACTAAGAGGCATTCTTAGATTAAGGAGACATAACTATCATCTTGCTAAAGGCAAAATGTGGAAATAAACATTCAGCCCTGAGAAGTTTCGCTGGTATTTTCGTGATTTACTTCTGCGCTAAAAATACGAGATGAATTTTATACTGAGTTGTAGTTGTGATTTATTAAAACAACTGCTAGAAGAGGGCAGAAAAAGACTAACACTATGCCCTAGTTAACCTAGTAACTAGGGTATAAGGTATTCACTAGGGGGGTAACGTGACTACACGTTAATACACAGTGGGCTCTCCACAATACACTATGACCCAGTTAAACTGGTGATTTACTAAGAAGTCATTTCAAGCAAGATGGCTCGAATTACGTGGATGAACAATTATATGTTCAACCATGCTGTTATGTGATACAGAAGAGATAGAAGAATATACAGCACGGATCATCATCCTCATCCTACGTCCCAGCATCTTGATGAGTGGGGAAAGGGAGGGGGGGGGGGGAGGCACTAGCTCGGAAACATTATATAAATAATTAAAAATATGACAACATATTTGTCTTGTATCTCACAAATTTAAAGGACTTCTTAGTTATTTATCTCTCAAACAGGCTGTTTTTTCGGGGGGTGGGGGGGGGGGGTGTTGTCGTTACAAACATGTATATCTAAAATTATATATATATTATATGACAAAGTCAGACCACGAAGGAAAAATGAAACAGGAAATTTCCTTAAGTACTTTCGTATATTAAATACATCTTCAGAAGGTCTGAAGATGTATTTAATATACGAAAGTACTTAAGGAAATTTCCTGTTTCATTTTTCCTTCGTGGTCTGACATTGTCACATTCTTAATCACGTGTTTATTTTCGTGATATACACACATATATATTATATATATGGGGGGGGGGGGAGAACGACAGGATGATTTTATAAAAGCTATACAAAATATTACAAATTTGAGACCCATTTCACTGTTTATACTCAAGACGTGACTCTGTAACCATCCCTGTTCAAATAAAGCTTAAGTAAAGGGATGTTTCCTGTATGTAATCTTATATTTAAGTGGCAGAGAATTCAGCCAATTACGCAGAAAGTGTCAAGAAAGAGTGCCTGGAGGAGGAGGAGGCACTCGCCCTCGTACTCACCATCTTTGACCTTATGCAGCGAGTCAAACATCCTCCTGTACCACTCTCCTTGATGCTCTGATCTCACACCCTGAAGAAAACAACACCAACTTTAAGCTGTGACAACACGCACCTTCTCACTCTAAGCACCACACATGCACAGATTAAGACACAAATAAATTCATATGCAGATGATGAGTCACAATAACGTGGCTGAAATATGTTGACCAGACCACACACTAAAAAGTGAAGGGACGACGACGTTTCGGTCCGTCCTGGACCATTCTCACAATTGACTTGAGAATGGTCCAGGACGGACCGAAAACGTCGTCGTCCCTTCACTTTCTAGTGTGAGGTCTGGTCAACAAATAAATTCAAGATGTGAGTACAAAAATGTAATGGGTTCGGGTAGCTATATCCAACACGTTCTCTCACCTCGTTCGTCAAATTTGTTAGTTAATCGACCAATTCGTAAAAAATTGACATATCAGTCAAAATGAAAGCACCGTAATAGAGACGTTTTGTCTACACCATTCTCTCTAGGTTAGGTAGAATCCAACCTCAGAGCACTATAGGCTCCGGGGGATGGATTCATCAAACAGTTACGCATCTACTTACGCAGCCCGTCCTTTTAAGGTTCCCCAACGTCGAGAAACCGTCGTACTAAAGTTACCCCTTATCCTAACCTACCAGAGGACCCAATACAGAAAACGGGGCAGAGTATCAATTTCGCGAGCCACTACCATTTTCTAGTACGACGATTTTTGGCCTTAGGTAAAGTATACGTCAAAAATGCGACGTTCTGGTAGGAGGGACGGGTTGCCTTACGCAACTGTACACCTTTCCTCAATCAGTGACGGCTTTGTTTGCATTTAATAAATTGGACCCAGATTCACGAAGCAGTTACGCAAGCACTTACGAACCTGTACACCTTTTCTCAATCTTTAGTGGCTTTGTTTACAATTATTAAACAGTTAATGAGCTCCGAAGCACCAGGAGGCTCTTTATAACAATAGCAACAGTTGATTGGTAAGTTTTCATGCTTGTAAACTGTTTAATAAATGTAACCAAAGCCGTCAAAGATTGAGGAAAGATGTACACGTTCACAAGTACTTGCGTAACTGCTTCGTGAATCTGGCTCCTGTTTACGAACATCGAAACTTCTCATTCAAATTTTATTGTTATATACAGTCTTCTAGTGTTCGAAGGCAACCTAACCTAACCTAACCTTCGTCCTCGTAACAGAGCGTCGCATTTTGACGTATACTCCACTTAAGGCCAAAAGTTGTCGTACTAGAAAATGGCAGCGGCTCGCGAAATTGACATACTGTCCCGTTTTCTGTTTTGGGTCCTCTGGTAAGTTAGGATAAGGGGTCACTTAAGAACGACAGTTTCTTGACGTTGGGGAACCTTAAGAGGACGGACTGAAGCCTGAACTAGGCACCCAATGCCGAGATAGGCCTAGCTAGGTGGTTTTAAGTCGTTAAGTCTAAAGTCTTAAGGCAAGTCTAAAGTCTTCAGACAAGTCTTAAGTCTCAGTGTGGATTGTCGAATTTCTCAGTGAAGATTTCTGTCAGTTGACCAGACCACACACTAGAAGGTGAAGGGACGACGACGTTTCGGTCCGTCCTGGACCATTCTCAAGTCGATTTCTGTCCGTTATATTTATGTGGTTAACATCGTGGCTTTTCACACACGACCAATACAGGAACTGGTGGATATACGCTGCCAACATATACTAAACCTGAAATACTTACTTTGAATCCTTTTAGTTTCATCATTTTGAAAATCCTCAATTTATCCTAATCGGCAGCATGAAACATAAGATGGGGGAGAATGTTGTGTAGTGGCGACTATTGCAGACAAGAGACACAGGCTATCTGAGACATTGTCATTACCATAGGCTACCACACACACACACACACACACACACACACACACACACACACACACACACACACACACACACACACACACACACACACACACAGTCACATATGATGCTGCTCTAAGAAGACATACGTTGTCACCCAATGACCTGGTTATTATTTAACAAGCAGCTAATGAGCATATGAGAAGTCAGACAAGTAGTAGCTGAGCTTAAAGCAAGCAACTGAAGCCAATTACGCTTAGATTTGCACAAATGGTTCTCAAGCTGTGAATGATGACAAAAGAGACAGCGAAACATTCAACAAACTTCAGCACTGGTTAAAGACAAACTCTATTGGCTATATGTACATTATATATAAATATATATACATTCTTTCACTCACATATTTAATGATTCACAATTCCTCCATATAATGAGTAAGCTTCTAACTCAACAAATTTGAATAAGCAGAATGGCTGAAACTAGCCTAAGAGATACAGGCGTTAATGTATGCATAGCAAGCACCAGTCCATACGGTGGGATGGAGGGATGCGCGAGCTGGGAGGGAGGTGGGGGATGGATTGATGGAGGGGATGTGGGGGGGGGGGAGGTGTGGAAAGGGGGATTGAGTGGGTAGGTTGGCGGGAGAGGGGAGTGATGGGGGCCATACGTACCGACTTGAGTGTGGTGGGGACCCCGTCGTTAGTGGTGGGGCCCACGCCTTGCACCTTCTTCGGCCCCAGGACAGCAAAGCGACGTCCCCCCTCTTCGTCCTCGGACCCGTACTCTCTCTTGATGACGTACACTGTTGACGGTGATGCAACAGTGCTCAGCAGTGGCTTCAATGACGGTGATAATAGTAAGAATTGATGGATTTATTAAAATAAATCTCTTTGGCACTGTAAGGCATCTAACTACACCATAAGAGGAAGACAGCTACAGGAATCAGAAAAAGAGAAGGATTTGAGAGTGGATATACGGTAATTCAGACACACCAGAAGCACAAGTAACAGACACCTCGAGCACTGTTTATGTAGGACAGACGTGTATTGTGTCTAATACAAATACAAATCTGTGTATTGATGTCTATAGGTTAGATTAGTATTTCAAAAGCACTACAATCACCTTCTGTGGTTGATTGTTCAATAAATCACTGAACTATATATTTAACAGATTGTAACAGTTGTTGAGGTGACTTGAGTCTCAACAAATGTTAAAAGATCTCTAACCCTGTCCATGGAGGACAGAAAAAAATGTATATACATATATTGTATTGTTAGCATTGCAAATGTGTGGCCACATCTGTGGTAGAAAATAATAAAGAAAAAACCTGACTTGTGATCACAAGTCAGGTTAAACTGACTGCAGTGATCACTGATCACACAGTGATTAAACTGTGATATTACTCATACACAGATCACATACCTGACTTTTGATAGTGCATATACACTGACCAAACACCTGAAGTTTGACACTGTTCATTCATGGATAAAACACCTGATTTCAGACACTACTTATCATGGACCAAACACCTAAATGTGGCACAGCTTATACATGGACTCACACATGGCTTCTGGCACTGTTCCAACACGACGTTTCAGCTGACATTAAAATACTGCTCATTTAAGGATCGCACACACCTGACTTGTAACAACTCATACAATGCCCCAACACCTGCCTGTCGTTGAACACCACTGATACATGAACCATACACATGCCTGTCTTGGGACACTAGTTAATCAAAACCCCACAAACCTGACATGTGATCTTGAGGACCACACACACATATGACTTGAGACAGCGCATACATGGACCACACACACAAAGACATCTGACACACGACACAGATCGCACAAAGACGACCCCTTCCTCCACACATCTCCAACATCTATCTGATCACAAAATGCTACTACTCACATTTGTCGTCCGGCTTATATTTCGGGCCCGTGTCATCAGGCTTCAGGTATTCTGGTCGCTTTCCGGGAATTTGACCCTCTGGAAGGCAGCAAGATAGAGTTAGATCTGTCATCTGGCTATATATAGTCAGTGCTAAAATGTGAATTGCTCAAGTTATGACTGGTACTGTTTTTCATAAAAAAAAAGTTAGCAAGGCACTATAAGTTAGATTCTTTTGTGTTAATTAGGCTTTCGTAAACATGAATTTGAATCAAATGTAACTTTGGAATTTTCTTTAAATTGATGACGTTCAGTTGATCAATAATGGTCAAGGTTTCAAATTTTAAATTGTCTGTAATAGGTGCATATGCAAGGAGATAATATATGTACAGAAAACAGACAATTAGGCTGTGAGGAGCCGTGTTAGATGTCTGGATTAGAAACAGCATCAATATTATGCTCTTGGCGGCCAAGAAAGTAGGTTAGATAATGTTATTATGACACGAAATTTGAGTTTGCAATTGGGTTAAAATTTCTAATTACACAGTGGCAGTGGAGAGAATGTTAATTAACCTCAGTTTCTAAATTATACCGTCCAGTCATAATGCAAAGTATTTACATGTTTCACATTTCATGAATCTGATTAACTCAGATACCGTAATGAGTACAGTATGCAGAAACATTTAAATGTCTGAATGTTCTATTAAAACAAAAACTATATTAAACAGCCATGAAAGTGAGCTTACAACTAAAAAAAAAATATGTATAAAATAGCTTCTTAAAAACGAATATATATATATATATATATATATATATATATATATATATATATATATATATATATATATATATATATATATATATCACAGGCTTATAAGTTCTGCACACTATACACATTATACGCATCATTATATGTATTTACACATATCATGTCACAATTCACTACGTCTTACCAACCCCGTCAAGAACCACAACTGAAAATATAATACACAGTAATATGATACAAATATAAAATTCAAATACTACACCCAATTCGTGCAATCCAAGTACCACCACATCAATAAAAATTATATATATATATATATACAAATACGGTATTAGATATAATACAGTGCATTACAGGGTCTGTAACTACGGATTGCTACCCTCAGTTCGCGTGCCTGTTGTATGTGCTACAACAGGCTGCCTTGATTATCTGACAGAACTATTGGGCGAAAGCTGTATGTTTATACAACACATACACCATGTCTACACACACACACACACACACACTGTAGAAATAGATTACATAGAACTTGTCTTTTCAGGAAAAAATAAAAATGTTTCATATGAATTATTGCGTGAGGGTGTAAGTGTTAAATTCTTAAACACACATTGTTTAAAATGTTGAATGTAAAGAGTTCTGAAGCCCTAGAGTTACTAAGTCAGATTATATATATATATATATGACAATGTCAGACCACGGAGGAAAAATGAAACAGGAAATTTCCTTAAGTACTTTCGTATATTAAATACATCTTCAGAAGGTCCTTCTGAAGATGTATTTAATATACGAAAGTACTTAAGGAAATTTCCTGTTTCATTTTTCCTCCGTGGTCTGACACTGTCACATTCTTAATCACGTGTTTATTTTCGTGATATACACACACATATATATATATATATATATATATATATATATATATATATATATATATATATATATATATATATATATATATATATATATATATATATATATATATATATATATATATATATATATATAATTAATGATGTGTAAACAAAAAATGATGGCACGCAAACAGGTATTAATGATATGTTAAACAAGAATTATTTACAAGTAAACAAGCATTAATGATATGTAAACAAATACTAACGCAAAAAAACAAGCTTTAATGCGAAACTCAGCAGGAGCCATGAGGAGGGTTCGAATCCCACATTTGGTAGGCTTAAGCACATTCCCTAGACCACTACACCACGACATGGTAAAATCAGTGCAACCTGGGATTCAGCTGAATTCTTTTAGGGGTTTCTGAGGCTTCCACTGAAGACAAATCAGGGTTTCATACACTGCCCCCCTATGCACTATTGACTGTGGTTTCAGTTGGAGCCTTAGGAAATCCTAGAGGATTCAGCTGAATCTCAGGTTGCACTGCTTTTCATGTTGTTGTGGTCTAGATATTAATGCATTGTTAACAAGAATTAATGATATGCAAATAAGAACTAATGATTAATGCATGCACTAAAGGCTCTCCCATTTCAATCCATTCTTCCATGTAAATATGCAAGATTAAATTTAAGAGTTGATTTTGTTTTGTTTTGTAATAGATGAAATAGTAAGAAAAATCTAGTCATCTTGTTTAAAGTGATACATTGAATGTTCAGCACAATTCTTTACCTAGAAGTGAATAACATGTTCTTCAGCAAAAATAAATCACAAGAGCAGAAGTTGTTTGCATTCTAAGCACATGTTTGAGGTAGCAATCCATATCTACAATGTCAATATCTAAAGCCACAATTCTCCAAGAGGTAGTGTGACGTTGCATATTTGAGCATAATGCAACATTTAACTATCTTTTTGAGTCGTCCATGCAGTGCCGACCGTGACTTTAGATACTGCAAAAGTCTGATTGGAGGTTCTGAAACTTGACTCATGTGCCGAGGAAATAATAGTCACGATTCCATGCGCAAATCGTTTGAATAATAAACTAGGATTGCTTGACTAAATATTGCGTACGTTGAATAAAGATAATTTTAGAGACTTGAGTAAGTTTTAGAGTTTTGGTTTCTAAATTTTGTGAAGAGCACTGGAGTGTTTCAGAGCTCAGTGGCAGAGTGAGTGCAACATTTTAGAGCCCCAAAGATACCCTGAGTGCAGTGTGAGTGCGAGCAGTGTGCTCTGACTTGACTGTAGAATAGATCATTGCTTTACCTGGGGTCGAATGCGGGTCATCTGAGGAGAAAATTTTAATTGATTTAGGCCTACTTTTATTATAAGAATTGGTGGCGGTTTCCTTAGTATTGGTCCACAAAAGTTAAATGGGGTTATCGAGGAGGATTCTGAGCCATATATATATTTTTGAGTAATGCACCAATGTCTTCAAATAATTTAAATAATTTTTAATTTTGTTTTCTCTTAGTGATGGCGTGTCATGGAAACAAAGAATTGCATGGAATGACTGCTAGAGATATACCTCTTGAGATTAATCTGTCTGTGGCTCAAAATCTTCACTCTATTAACATAATCAAATTGGGCAGATTATGTCATTATAGAATGTCCGTATTATATAGCAAATGCACAATTTCAAGAATAACAGAGTAATCATTCATAAACCATAACATTATTGTAATTATTTTCCATTCCTTACAAATTTATGGATCAAAGACAAGAATGTGAAACGAACAGCAATAACAAACTACATGTAATCATACTCAAAAATGCTATCTGATATTATAAAAAAAAATATTATTAATTGTTTTGCTTTTGTCAATTTTGCTATGCCCTAATTTCATCATGCTAATGAGTAGAGTAGAGAGGTTTTGGTCTCCCAGTGACACACGAGAACCAGAGTTTACCACAACAAACACACACACACCTGCTTGCTCACTACAAGCTGATTAATTCTTACCTTGTAAGGAAAACTGGTATGAAAACTTAACATTTTTGTGTAAACTTTACTGTTACACATAAACGCAATTGTCATGTAAACTAAACCGTTATGTAAACTTTTCGTAAACTAAACTATTACACAAGATAAACCATTTCATAATCTAAACTGTTACGTAAATCGTTACATAAACTAAACTGCTAAATGAACAGCCATTTGCACATCAACTAATCTTCGGTGAAAAATCAAATACGTGAACCAGTGACTGTTAATGACTAATAATGCAGTAAATAGCACACATTATAGAAAATATAATTAATATTTTCGAGAGAAAAAATTATATTTTGGATAATAAACTAAGTTTGAGCGCATTCAGTTGCTGGATTAAAAATTCAAATGTATGAAAATCAAGATATAATATAGAAAAAATATATATATAACAACTATTTTTATTTCTAATATATGTATACCATCACCTCTAATTGCATTAATCAACTTGATTAATGCAACTAATTGCATTTATTTGGGACAAGGGTGCCAGGTGGGACAAAGGTGCCAGGTGGAACAAGGGTGTTAGGTGGGACAAAGGGGCCAGGTGGAACAAGGGTGCCAGGTGGGACAAAGGTGATGCCAGGTAAGACAAAGGTGAAGAGTTCCTCTGACTCAACACAGTCAATCATCACCTTTCATATATCAGTGTGAGATGAGTCCCACTAAACCTCTACATTTCAAGACAATATGCACGAGACCTTTATCAAGTCACTCAATAATAGGTCCCCAAATAACTTTGCATACAACCAATAATTTTATATAAAAGCAATGTAGAATATGTCCTGTATACACTTATTTGTATATGATTAAAGTAAGCATGTATTCTGCCATGGTAAGGAAAAAGCATTATTAATAAAAAAAACATTCTGTTTCTTCCATGCATCAGTAGCATATTATCATTCAGAAATAAAGGACAAAAAAAATCGTTAAATTATTTGAAAAAAACCTTACTGTATGTGATTTGCAATGTTATTTAATTATTACTGGTTATTGAAGCGTAAGAATTCCACCATCGCTTGCAAAGATTATTGAATAAATTAAATAAATATTGAATAAATGTTCGCTCTTCAATTATGGTGCAATTCTGATCATTTTCAACACAAAACAAATGTTTCATTGTTAATTGACAACCAACAGTGAACGCTGGAGATTAATTTGTTTAGTTAAGTAGGCGACATGGTCAGAAATATGGGGTTGTGAGGCTTGAGGGCCTCACCAGAGTAAGTTGGCGAGGCCCTCAAGCGAGCTCCTGACCGCTCTGGTAACCGTTGGTAACCGCTCCTTTGGGGGACGGAACATGTTCCTGACCCCTGGTGACCGCTCCCTCGGGGGACGGAGCATGTTCCTGACCCCTGGTGACCGCTCCCTCGGGGACGGAACATGCTGCTGACCCCTGGTGACCGCTCCCTCGGGGACGGAACATGCTCCTGACCCCTGGTGACCGCTCCCTCGGGGACGGAACATGTTCCTGACCCCTGGTGACCGCTCCCTCGGGGACGGAACTTGCTCCTGACCCCTGGTGACCGCTCCCTCAGGGACGGAACATGCTCCTGACCCCTGGTGACCGCTCCCTCGGGGACGGAACATGTTCCTGACCCCTGGTGACCGCTCCCTCGGGGACGGAACATGTTCCTGACCCCTGGTGACCGCTCCCTCAGGGACGGAACATGTTCCTGACCCCTGGTGACCGCTCCCTCAGGGACGGAACATGCTCCTGACCCCTGGTGACCGCTCCCTCGAGGACGGAACATGTTCCTGACCCCTGGTGACCGCTCCCTCAGGGACGGAACATGTTCCTGACCCCTGGTGACCGCTCCCTCGGGGACGGAACATGTTCCTGACCCCTGGTGACCGCTCCCTCAGGGACGGAACATGCTCCTGACCCCTGGCTATTAAGCTATCGCTTAAAATAAAAACAAAAACACAATATAAATATATATGACATATGACAAAGAATATGTACCTAGTATGGCGCACAGAGCCCTGACCTGAGGCGGGAGAGCGCGTACTAACCTCGCTTTTTCTGAAGGAGGGTGACGGTGGGGTTCTGGACCTTGGGCAGCGAGGTGGAGGTCGGGGAGCGGGCGACCTTCTCCACGTTGATGTCCTTCCAGGCGAAGCTCTCCTCCGGCCGGGGCGTCGACACTCCCTCCTGCAACACCTCGACTACTGTCATATGGGCACGTCAAACCACCACACCCACACCCACACACACCCTCTACAAGCAATAATATAACTCGAGTGCTGAATGAAGATGTATTGAGGCCGGATCGAACCCGGATCGAACCGATATAGCATCGAATCCGGATCCCTGGATTCCCTAGCACGACTTCAATATTGTCCAACAGATTCATCATACATTTTTGTGATGTTATTGCGCGTTGAGTGCAATACTCATCAAAGACATCGATAAGCTCGCATAGCTTAACATGTTTGAACATGTTTCTGTGTTCAAGGCAAGAGGCCTGATGCCTGGGGGGTAGACTCACTCAGTTTGCCAAGCTGACACATGCGGGTATGCTGACTGACATAGGCCAGCTCGGGTACGCACCCCCAGTGCCATGCTTGAAGAAATATCTGCATCTATAGCGACCTCCATGTGATTTTCACCTACTTAAATTGGGGATATCTTCTCCGTAGAGTTTTCATCAGTATTTTCATTGCTATGTAATATTTAATTCTTAGAGAGAGGGAAGAAGGGGCAGTATTGTGGGAGGAGAAAGGGGATAAATGTAGAGAGGTGGCGAGGTGAGAAGGAAGAGATTGTGTGATTGGGAGGACAAAGAGTGGAGGAGGATGTTGGAGGAAAGGGAGATGTTAGGTGAGACGTAAGAAGAGATGGAAGAGTGGTAGAGAGGGTGAGATAAGCTAAGGTTTTTACCCACAAAAGAACCAGACTGCTATAAGACAGAAATCTCGTATATATGATGGTTAACTACTGAACGAACATAAATCCCTGTAAGCGATGCGAAATTAATCATTTAAGCAGCGTAAGCGGCGCAACCGTCACGGCAGCCAGCGGTAAGGTTGGCTGAGGGAGGAGGAGTCACTGCCCACCAGGTACAGTGCTCTTCGTCTAGCCCGTTCTCGCCGCCGTTCCCAACGTCAAGAAACCGTCGTACTAATGTCCCCTAACCTACCAGAGGAACCGCAAACAGAAAACGGGACATTATGTCAATTTCGCCAGCCGCTACCATTTTTCTAGTACGATAGTTTTTGGCCTTGGGTAAATTATACGTCAAAATGCAACTTGCTATTAGGAGGACGCGTTGCTTCGTGTTGTAAACGATCATTTACAGAGGTCATCCGTCAAACTGCGCAGCAGTCACAGAGCATTTTTAAGGATTTTGCACTGGCAATTGACAATGTTAATTATCATAGTCTCCCCCACCCCCCCTTGGTATCTTTTTTTGAGTATCACTTATACATCTTTTCTTTTCTATAATGTCTCACTTTGAGGAGTTAGCAGCGCAAAATAACACGGAGAACAAAGCGTTGGGACATTTGTTTTACAATATACACTTAAATCAAAAGTGAAGCATTAGCGAAGACAAGAGGGAACAGCAAGAGGAGGAAGAGTGAGGGGCAGGGACAACAACAAAAGAGGGAAATGGTAGAGAGAAAGAATGAAGGGAAAGAAGACTAAGACCACGAGGAACACTTGTGGAGGGAAAGCAGACTTCACAAGAAAGAAAGCATCCCGGCAACGGATATTCAAGCTGGGGAAAATTAAGCAAGAGAAAACATAACATAAGCAAGAGATCACATAATCAAGAGACCACAAAACATAAGCAGAAGCCCACATAAGAAAGAGGGCCGCTTAAAACAAGCAAGAGACTGCATAACCTAAGCAAGAGACATATACAAGAGACCGAGTAACAAAAACCAAGAGACCCAGGCAAGAGATCTCAAGCAAGAGATCGCGGAAGGAACGTAAAAAAAAAAAAGAGACCGCAGAACGTGAAATTGTAATCAAAAAGATCTTGATACGAGGTTGAGATGCAACAACAGCGAAGGCATATGTGAGGTCTGCTTGATTGATTGATTGATAAAGATTAAGTCACCCAAGAGGTGGCACGGGCACGAATAGCCCGTAAGTGGTGGCCCTTTTGAGCCATTACCAGTATCAAGAGCTGATACTGGAGATCTGTGGAGGCGCGACTGCACCCTGCGTGACGGGAGATGTCTCCCGTCGAGGTCTGCTTAAAACCGAGTCCAATAAGTACCTATAAAACATAAAGTACACAAGGTACCTTGGTATTCCCCGCTATACTGCACCACACCAGGAGCTGGGGGGGAGGGGGTGAGCCCAGCACACCTCTACACCCATTTCTGGTAACCATTTGATGGTAGTTTTATTAGTATTTACACTAACAGAATACACCTCTGCCAGATTTCATTAGCCACTTGGAGCTGTGTTTATGGCAGCAGGCGCATATGTGTGTGTGTGTGTGTGTGTGTGTGTGTGTGTGTGTGTGTGTGTGTGTGTGTGTGTGTGTGTGTGTGTGTGTGTGTGTGATCTTCTTCACTGACATTATTACATAAAAGACCTGCCAGCAGGGTAGGGGACATTGCTAGGAGACATGGTATTAGTAGACGAGACGAGACAGAAACAGACGCGAGGGATTGGTGGCTCCACACACACACACACACACACACACACACACACACACACACACACACACACACACACACACACACACACACACACACACACACACACACACACCTCACTCCAGAGGTTCATATAAATAGGTTAACAACATCAGCACACTCTACGCCAGCAAAAGTCAGAACATCATCCGGGAATCTTAATAAAAAGGCATTTAGATCGCTGTTCACCACCTACGTGAGACCAGTATTAGAGTATGCCGCCCCATCATGGAGCCAATCCTAAAAACCACACAAGAAAACTCGAAAAGATTCACAAGTTTGCAACGAGGCTCTTCCAAGAACTGCCACTGATCCGGCACGAAGAGAGATTCAAAGAACTAAACCTGACGACGCTAGAAAAAGAGACGAAACATGATAGAGACGTAAGAAATATTTAGGATAGAAAATATAAATATTTAGCTGGAAGTGGTTCCATAGGGCCAGCCAAGAGGGGCAACAGTAGACAAAAACACAGCCTGGCAGCGGGGCGCCGAGGGGACCAACACCACTCTTCTTCTCCAGTAAGTCTGGCGAAGTTTTTGCCCGTCGTCACGGCCCGACAGGTAGAGCGTCGACGCTCCCTTTAGTCTTTTATTATCTGTGTACACGCGGGACTCAACACCCTGCCTACAGAGACGCCATGTGGCGGCTCAGTCGAGCTTTAGCTCTTGGGTCCTGCCATCCCTGCTGTATATAATGGCATATAATGGCACTGTATAAAAGCTCTTTTGTAACCTTTTATGTGGAGGGGCAAATGATTGAACATTCATTTATTGTTCATTAATAGAGACAAGATAAGCTGTTCTTCACATTTTTTTTACACAGTAGTGGAAATATATATATGGGTAAACATTATTTTTTAAATATAATTAATCTATGTGGGAATTAAGCTTCATATTATAAAATACAGTGATCACGTTCAATAACATACAGTTTAATATATATAATGACAATCACAAGCACTCAAATATTGAATTAAATCACAGGAGAATGTAAACTAAGCCGGAGTAACGCTGTCTCTTCTGCCAAAGTTTACAACAATGATCTCAAACGTAACTTCTTGACAAGCAACACTATTACTAAACTTATCTTAAATATATGAGAGGATAATTCTCAACACCACCATGAACGAGATTTGCCTGCTGATAAAACAGTGATGGACACATTGTATCATGACACCCTGTATCCCCCACCACACCAGGTACACTCTCAGTTTACATGCACGAGTTAACAAGGCAACCCGTCCTACTATTAGAACGTCGCAATTTGACGTATACGCTACCTAAGGCTAAAAATCGTCGTACTAAATCGCCCTGGGTAACAAAGCCAGGTCCAAGTGGGCGACTACAACTTCTACTCAAACTCTCACACACACGTACTAAATCTTTAAAAAAATCCCTGCAGCATTTTACGATTTACAATTCTGCCATTAATTTTATAAACGAGCATTTTTTGAGCTCTTAAAAATGTGTAGGAGAAAGCTTACTAGGCTTAATGAACAAGACTCAAACTCCCAAAGACAGATTACTGGGCTTAGTGAGCAAGACCAGGAAACAGGTCGCCCTCGGCGCCAATCTTGACATTATACAAATTCCTTTCCCCGAGCAACACTCATCTTAGATGATATTAAACAGTGTTGTCTAAGAATAGATTTACGGACCCACTGGAGACTGTCGTTCATGGCTTTGGAGGACTACCTCAGTACCTCCTCCTGCAGATTATGTCATCCTTCGTAATTTCAAGACGCCCTTGGGAACAATGATTAGGTAAATGCAACTCAAGTGCAAGGGGTGGGGGGGTAGGGGGTGGGGCTGGGGTAGGGGGTGGGGGGGGGGTAAGACTGGGGAGGGGGTGAGGTTCAACATCTTTCACATGTTCTTTCAGACGTTAAACTTCGCATAAATAACTCTACTTCTCTGTAATTGTATGAGAAGTAACTCAGTTATGTGTAAATATTTGTGAATATTATATATATATTAAATTTTAATTTTAATTACACTTCCCATTTACTTTCTATACCTCATGGGTGTCAACAATCTCAAAAGATACTCAAGATAACACATATACATGGATCAGTGTACGATAAAGTTATTCAGTATCCTTTGACAAAAGATCCGTTCTATAGGTTTTTAAATACTGCAAAAAAAAAAGATAATTATATGCCCACTGGACACTGATCTTAGATCCTTGGAAACCCTCTTAAGAAGACGAGGTTCCATTAAGATGAAGCGTCTCAAGAGGAACTGCTGGACCCTCTGTCCTGCGTGACAGTGAATACCAGCATTATCCTCACTTTAAAAAGACTTAATTGAAATCCTCAGATTAGGCAAAATTGTAATTAATTTTGTCAATAAAGATGTTAATAATAATAATAATGCCACCTACCTGAGAGGGACGTCTCTGGGGCGTGATGGGGCCGTCGTACGTAATTTTCCGGTACTCCTTACGTCCCAGGCTTGGACTCGCGCTCCCCGCTGCAAAGAAAACGGATACAATTGAGTAACAGAGAAAACGGTAAAAGTAGGACGAACTTTACAGAAAGACGGACTAGCATGTAAATGTTGAGAATCAGAATTCGAGTATTTATCCATATATATATATATATATATATATATATATATATATATATATATATATATATATATATATATATATATATATATATATATATATATATATATATATATATATATATATAAATATATATATATATATATATATATAAATATATATATATATATATATATATATATATATATATATATATATAAATATATATATATATATGGACCCATTCTCAAGTCGATTGTGAGAATCGACTTGAGACTGTAAATATTGAGGTCACAATCGACTTGAGAATGGTCCAGGACGGACCGAAACGTCATCGTCCCTTTACCTTCTAGTGTGTGGTCTGGTCAACATGTATTTATTTATTTATATACATATAGGAAGGTACATTGGTGTTATAAGAGTACATAACATTCATGAATCCCAGATTCCAACGGCTATTGTTATTACTTTACCTGAAGGTCCACAGGTTACTCTCCTTACTTTATCTAAGGTGCGATAAATGTTAATAGAAAAAGTTAATCTTGTTACATATTTTGAATCTCTCCCCCCCCTCACATACCCACAAATAGTACCGAACCATGTGCCCACATAACCTTACATATGGTTCAGAAGACCTAACCTTAACTTTAAATACCAACCAGTTTGGTCAGAGACAATGTGGTTCCCAGCTCACCAGCGGCACTGAACTAACAACACATTATAAACGGCCCAAAACAGTACTTAAGGTGACCAACATCTCCCAGAGCTGAGAGCACGAGGCGAAGTGCAATTATGTCAACACCTTCCGCGTTCCACCTGCCCCAGAAGATCACCAGGATCACAGGTAAGTGACAGGAAGACACCTACAGGAGGAACAGGAGAAGTGGTGGTGGTGCTACCCTAATAACGCTTCGCTAACAATAACGACTGAGAAGTGAGGCAAATATGAAGCAGAAATAGAATCAAATTCTTATAAGAATTGATCAAATTCCTCATCAAAAAACTTTAATTATGTGTGATTGATTGATTGATGAAGATTAAGCCACCCAAGAAGTGGCACGGGCATGAATAGCCCGTAAAATATGTATAATGTTATTGCGAGTCTTCTTAAGTCTTCAACCCCCTGCTTTGGTACCTCCCTTGTGCAGTGAAGATATATCTACTGATTCAAGTGCTTCTTTTGTTGCTGCTTTATTCGCTTATTTCCTGCATTCTGTCATTCGTTACAGAATGGACTACATTGATCATTCTTCTTCTGTGTTCTCTCATTCCCCGCTATTCACTACCGTCATTTTAATTACGTTCTTCTCCATAACTCACTCCACTATTCCATCCCACTGCCTTTATTTTTTATCTGACAATTCACCTAATTTTCAGGACACTTTTCTGCTGACTCCTTAGTGGGTTGTTTATAAGGGAATATTGAAGTGAATAGGGCACAGCCTATTCCTTTCCTTTTTCAGGGAAAGGGGCTGCTCGTTGTCCAGCTTAATACAGAGCTTAACTCACGTAAGGTTGACTCTCAGCATCACCACGTGGATGATCTCCATCTAGATCCTCACCTTTTCTCTCCTACTTAATTACTCTACCTATTCCCTTTCTCTTCCCCTTTGCAATTTTCCTTTCCCTGTAAGTTTCAATCTGCTCTTCCATTGCCCTCTCCTCATCATCTCTGTTCACCTCTCCTTTCTCCTTCCCTATCTGTTTTTTTTATCTTTCAATACTTCCTATCTTTGCTCGTATTTACAGCCCTCCTCTCCTCCTCCTCTCACTCTTCCCCATTCCTATCTCACCTTCCTTCCCCCCTCCCCTTCCCCTCCTTTCCTTCCCCCATTACCTGTAGAGACGCTCGTATACTGAAGAATGTGGGGGAAACCTCACGGAAATACTTGTCTCCGAGGCCAAATCTAAGGACCATAGAAACTGTATTTTGACCAAACAAGCCGTATTTTGACCACAGAGGCCGTCTATTATCCATAGAGCCTGTGGAGACCATTGAGTTGAATCACAGCTTCATAATATTACAGAATTCAAATATTGTCTTGCAAGACTTGCAGGAATTCAGAACTCCCTCCCTCCCTCCCTCTCCCTCTCTCTTTCTCTCTCTCTCTCTCTCTCTCTCTCTCTCTCTCTCTCTCTCTCTCTCTCTCTCTCTCTCTCTCTCTCTCTCTCTCTCTCTCTCTCTCATCGTCATCCCAGAGGAAGAAATTAAAATAACGCTCTGTGGTAAATGTTTTAAGCAACGGAAGTCAAACTCGTCAAAGTTAATTCAGACTTTGACTCAAAAATTCTCTGCCTCTCCCCACCCTCCGGATGCTGTGTATTCGAAGGCTTTTACAGTAATGGCGCTCCGCCACCAGCTCGCCCCTCGCAAAGTCTGAGTTATATAAAGCCGGAGTCTAATTTATTTACACCAAGCCTTATTTATCGAGATAAACTATAATCTATATGTGGTAAATTCTTATCCATTGCTGGAATATATATATATATATATATATATATATATATATATATATATATATATATATATATATATATATATATATATATATATATGACAATGTCAGACCACGGAGGAAAAAATGAAACAGGAATTTCCTTAAGTACTTTCGTATATTAATACATCTTCAGAAGGAGTGAAGGTGTGAGTGAATACATCTTCACTCCTTCTGAAGATGTATTAATATACGAAAGTACTTAAGGAAATTCCTGTTTCATTTTTCCTCCGTGGTCTGACATTGTCACATTTTTAATCACGTGTTTAGTTTCGTAATATACACACACACACACACATATATATATATATATATATATATATATATATATATATATATATATATATATATATATATATATATATATATATTTTAAATGTGACATATTAGTCAAAATTAAGGCCCCTTTCATTAATATTCTTTAATATTTTCTTCGTCAGAAAATACCAGTAAGCAAGGTTGCTTGGGTTCGTATGTTTCCAATAAGGCAAAACAGTTGCATTATTTACGGAGTGGTCAATCGAGAGAACAGGCTGGTGAATCAGCCCTACATGGATGGTCGTCCACCCGGTACGACCAGAGGGGTATAGTTCAGGTCGTAGTAACGACCTTGTTCATGTATTTTACCTGAGTCAATGTTGCCACATCCTCTCCCCCCCCCCTCACACCCTGGTGTAAGAAATGTTCGTTGACAGACCGATTAAGCGAGTTGGTGCCCCCGAGGCAGGCTCCATGTGATGGGGGTAATAATAGCTGTGGAGGCAGGTGGTGAGCGTAGGGGGAAGTGGAGGCAGGTGGTGAGCGTAAGGGGAAGTGGAGGCAGGTGGTGAGCGTAGGGGGAAGTGGAGGCAGGTGGTGAGGGTAGGGGGAAGTGGAGGCAGGTGGTGAGCATAGGGGGAAGTGGAGGCAGGTGGTGAGGGTAGGGGGAAGTGGAGGCAGGTGGTGAGAGTAGTGGAAAGTGGAGGCAGATGGTGCGTGTAGAAGGGTAGTGAAGACAGATGGTGTAGACACATCATTAATGACAAACAGATGCTTTGAATGCTAGAGATTACCTGGAAGTGTTGGACTGATCATTAGGCAGTAAAGGGAAGATAGCAATCTGAAGCTATAATCACCGCCACATTCAAGAGACTTAGAGAAGGTTCTTGTGATCGCTTCAAGTAAGTCGCCCTCAAATCAGGAAACTGTTTCCAATTAGCCAACCTGCTGGGATAGTTAGCTTAGGCGATCTAATGAGCGCCGCACCACGACTAATTCCTGCTGGAGAGAGCAGCAGCAGAGTTCTCATCCTCACACTCATGGGGACCGCGGTTCGAGTCTCCCAGAACTCAAGGTGAATGGAAAGCAGATCAGTTCCTGCTGCTACTCTCAGCCCCTTTATATATACACATATAACTGCTTCATTTGTTTATTGTCCATTTGCTATTACCTTCCTCTTCTTTGGTTACACCTGTAGGAAGCGACGGTCTCGCTTCATGCAGGTCCGTGTTCAATCCCCGACTGTCCAAGAGGTTCGGCACCATTCCTTCCCGCCGTCCCATCCCAAATCATTATTCTGACCCCTTCCAAGTGCTATTTGATCGTAATGACTTGGCTTTTTCTCCTGACAGTTCCCTTTCCTTTCCTTTTTTCTCTTCCATATTCCTATTCCTCTACTGTCAGTGTCTTATCAGTGTCTTATCTTATCCCCTCACACTCTCCCCTTTCACCTCTTCCAGCCCTCTTCCACTCTCCCTAGACCTCTTCCACCCTCACAAGTCCTCTTCCATTGTCCTCTCCCTCATCCAAAGATCACTCGGCCTTGTCCCAAGATCACTACCAGTATGTTTATGGTCGACCAGTGAGGAGCAGGAACCACAGCACCACCTGGATGGTTACCTGGTGGGTCTCCAACCACCTGGATGGTTACCTGGTCAAGGTTATCACCTGCTTAATTGTTTGTTGCTGTTTGAATGTTTACCAGCGTGGCATCCCAGCGATTCCACTGATAACATATCACAACATACTGTTAGGCTCAGGTTAGGTTATTTGTAAGTTTCATTACAAAAATTAAAAACTATACAAACTATTCATTGGTCTGGAAAAAAAATTTCCCTTTTTTTAATCCGTTTCACTAAATAACAAATTAACGTTCTATGCAAATTTCTATTAAAAGTGCTAACGGTGGTGAATTACTCAATGATTGCAAGGCCTATTCAACCAGATTGACAATAATTGGAATAAATATCGCCTGAATACATTCAAATGCGTGAAAATTGCAAATAATCTGGTTGCATCATGATCATTGCAAGTGACACATGGCACAGGAAATGTATTCATACACAAAACACTTTCAGCCCATAATGCCTTATACATCTGAAATACTACCATTACTGAGAGTACAAACAAGAATACCCATCTGTGTGTATAAAACAGAAAAGGCTTTTTGTCTGTCAATGGTTGGAGGACACATGCTTGGGCCTAGTTGCACCCTACTATTCAGTATGACACATGGGTTGTGGGTGGCTGTCATAGACTGATCTCGTCGGTAACATTGGCTCTCTTTAATAAATATCGACTCCCAAAACGATCTGGATGAAGTCTGAAATCGGGGATTTGTTTTCCGTAGAATCCCTTTTCTTAATATTATTACATTTTCTGAGTACATGAGAGAGAGAGAGAGAGAGAGAGAGAGAGAGAGAGAGAGAGAGAGAGAGAGAGAGAGAGAGAGAGAGAGAGAGAGAGAGAGAGAGAGAGAGAGGGAGAGAGAGATGGAATGAGGGTGATCATTTTGTTGTAATGATCACTACAATGAAGGTCATCAATCACATTTCCACACTCAGATAATTTCAGTCATTAAAAACCAAACATAATACACATGAAAATGTGTATTATGTGTTCACATGAAATATCAATCATGGGCATACGCATACACACACACACGCACACACACACACACACACACACACACACACACACACACACACACACACACACACACACACACACACACACACACGTGCAGCAAGCCATCACAAACGACAATTAACAAACAGCTTCACCCCATCACCGAAATAAACTTCCGTAGAGAAGTCAGTAGCGCCAGCGATAATCAGCTGTGGCAGCAGGTAGCCAAGACACCTTTGAAGGTACTGGCGTCTTGAACACACCAGCAAGTCCCCGACAGACATCCTGCTTACTCGGCGGCGCCATCACTGCCACGGCTGAGTCGGGGATTTGTACAGGCATCTCCAGCCTCTTTCATAAATATTTACCTCTTGAAATCACCTCAATACTTGTATGTGTTCGTGAGTGTGTGTGTGTATTCACCTATTTGTACTCACCTATTCGTGTCTGCAGGATCGAGCATTGACTCTTGGATCCCGCCTTTCGAGGATCGGATGTTTACAGCAATGACTCCGGTCCTATTTCCCTATCGTACCTAATTTTAAAATTATGAATAGTATTTGCTTCCACAACCAAAGTGGAACCTTAAGTGCATTCCATTGTGTGTGTGTGTGTGTGTGTGTGTGTGTGTACTCACCTAGGTGTGCTTGTGGGGGTTGAGCTTCGGCCTGACATGCATGAGGTCTCCGCGTTCGAGTCTCCTAGAACCCAGGTGAATGGAATGTTTATTTCCAAGGAAGTGATGATGTGCGCTTCTGCAATATTGAAACCTTCTTGTCTAATTTACAGGCAGCCCGTCCTCATCAACGAAGTTCAAATGCTAGCCAATCCAGCCGCCAAACCTCGTTATTAATGTATTAAAACACTTTAAACAACCTGTCCTCAGGATGGGTTCGTTTAAGCGGCGGCCTACCCCAAAGAGGCATTCATCAAATTTAATATATTGCGTGTTATAGTTTTTTCTCATATATCAATAAAAAAATTATTATATATTAAGAGTTCTGTGTATAGTTAGGCAAGGATTAGGTTAGGTGTTTAGGATCTGTTAGGAATTATTTGTATTTAAAGAACGTGGGTGAATCATTTAAAGAGATGTGGTTCGAAAAGAGGTTGTCAGCGAAGCACTGTTCGAGAAATATTCGAACGTCAACAGTTGTGTGAGTCGTGTGTAAACCGTTTTTCATTCATAAACAGGAGGGTTTTGTCAGGGCCATGGAATGGACTTTGGGTCTTTGTTTAGAGGACGAGCTGCCTCAGGATAGGTTGTTTAAACGCGACCATGGCTGAGTAACCAATCAGGGAAGAATGATTCTGGCGGGAGTTTTTCAGCCAATCACTAAGAAGGAAATGCGCGCGCTTTTTCGTGATTCAGAGGGATGTGGGTCGGGCACAGTGGCAAGAACTGCGTCACAGGAAAATAATCTTGAATTTATGAAGCGGGTAAAAAATACCTGGAACAACCATCACGTTTCCTGCTCGTTGAACTTGCAATTTAACGGTGGGTGGGCGTTCATTCTCCCTGGTGTTATTAATAGGAATTGTTGCACGCACTGAAATGTATGGCAGCGATGAGTTGCCACGCAATTTGCGTTTTAATTTGTTTTGTTGCGTTGTGTAAGCAAAAATCTAACATTAAAAAATATAATAATTATTTTGGGTATTTATTTTTACTTGATGCTTGGGCATTACTAATGAAAAACTGCAAAAGTAATTATATTTAAATTGTTCCTTCCTTGCCCCCCCCCTCTCTCTCTCTCTCTCTCTCTCTCTCTCTCTCTCTCTCTCTCTCTCTCTCTCTCTCTCTCTCCCCACTTATTTTCATTCTCTCGCCTTCCCTACTTTGCCTACTGTTCCATCTCTCCATCATCGACTGTCTCTCTCTCTCTCTCTCTCTCTCTCTCTCTCTTCTCTCTCTCTCTCTCTCTCTCTCTCTCTCTCTCTCTCTCTCTCTCTCTCTCTCTCTCTCTCTCTCTCTCCCTCTCTCTCCCTCTCTCTCCCTCTCTCTCTCTCCCTCCCTCCCTCTCTCTCTCTCTCTGTCTCTCTCTCTCTCTCTCTCTCTCTCTCTCTCTCTCTCTCTCTCTCTCTCTCTCTCTCTCTCTCTCTCTCCCCTCTCCTGTATAAACAGCTAGATTAGTTAACGTTAATTAAATTGCTGACGATTTTACATCTATTACTGCTAATAATGTAACAAAATTTGTCAATAGAGTGTAAAATATATGGCACTAAAGAGTAAAACATGGCAATAGTGTAAAACATACGACAATACACTTTGCCACGTGCTAAACAGGGTTAAATCTGACTGCTAAAATCAACAGCAAAAAACCAGATACAAACAGACCTAAACTCTGCCAGAAGAGTCAAACACGAAACAACACATAAAAATAATACAGGTGTTAACATGCCCCAACAATTGAGAGCAGACACATGCAAGCAGATGCCAAGAAGCAGCCTTCACGAGGACAAACAGATGTTAACGTAGGCAACAGGTGTCAACAAAAGGGGTAGTACTCACAAGGGTCGCGTCCAGATGGGTGATCAGGGCGGGGGTCGTGTATCCGGCTATTGTACCCTGATGTGTTGTTCTGGCCTACAGCAGCACACGGGGAGAGATGGGCAGAGTTAGCTGCTGCTGGGAGTTACCATGGGCGGGGGGTTAGTATGGGTGAGAGAGGAGAGAGGAGGGAGTTAGCATGGGTGAGAGAGGAGAGGTGGGAGTTATAGCGGGCTGAGGGAGGGAGAGAGGAAGTGGGAGGGGATTAGAGACAAAGCAGGTTAAAGAAAGATTGTGTTTCATGTGGGTGAGAGGTGGGAGTGTGTTACATGGTGGTGGGTGGAGTGTGTCACATTAAACTTACATTAAAAGGTAATCTAACTTACAAGACCATGAGATTTACAGCATGGTAAAAAAATAATACATTTTGTTTAAAGGTCACATATACCAAAACGATTTTTTTTAGCATTAAAACCTTTCATTTATCAAATCTGAAAAAAACGAAAATTACCTTAAAAAAATGACAAATAATTGATTTGTTACTTTATCTCCGAATAATGCTTCAATGTTCCTGTTATGCTGCTTTCATGTAACACAAATATCGTCAAAATGATAACCCTAACCTAACCATACCTAGGGAGTAGTTAACAGCATTAATTATGTCGTGACTTTGAGGTGAGTACCACCAGGGGTACCTCGCTTCTCCCGGAGGACAGGTTGTTCAAACAACAGTGACTTTGTTAGTACAACCTGTCAACAATATTGTACAACAGTGGTACAAAGCAGACAACCGTGAACACAGCAGACCTGAATGCTGGTTATCGGACTTTAGTCAGTAAACAAAATTTGGTTCATTTGGCCGCCGACAAAAATTATCTGCAAGGGAGGCTAATATCTGGAAGAATAATTTAAGTTTCCTAAACACAGGAGAGCTGTCATTACTCTTTAAAATATTACATTGTAGGAAAGAGTGATATAAGCGTTATTTTGATTATTGGTATATTACCCATACGCATCAAAACACGACAAATGAAAGGCAAGATTGAGTTTTTCATGAGATAAACTGCAGTAAACTATGACTTTTTATGAGACGCGTCAGTTATGTGAGATGTTTGGGCTGACCCTCACAACAGCTAGCTCACCGCTGAGCCAAATTAAAACAGCTTTAAAACATAAAAGCGTGTAAAAAAACATCACTACTCAAACACTATATAGTTTTACTCCACCACAAACCTTCGACTCATAGAAAAAACTAGTTTTATATTATGTTTCGAAACTTAAATGACATTTATTATTGTATATGATCTTTATGTAAACAGTGACTGTAAACATTCAACACACCGGGTAAATATGTTTATTAAGGCATGTTATTTAGTGCATAACAAATGAAGCCCCATTGTTGGGGTATTAACTGGCACAGGTCCACGTGAAAATATTGAACTGTAGGGCTCATTCTGGCCCCCTTCACCACTGAATTGTGAGGTCCCAGTGGCACTGACCGTCCTGTGGTCCCACTGAAATAAACTTCAGTGACACTGATCCCTTCTGTCATGAACCACTTAATAAAGGGGCCGAGTGTTTGTTAATATATTGCTACAAGCTCGTTCATATCTATGAAATACTTCACAGGAACAAGCTGAGAGATTAACAAAAGAAGTAATGTTAATTTCTATAACATGCAGAGTTAGAAAGTACTTAAAGATACATTCACCACACCTTAATAAGAATTTTAACAAAACACTTGTCTACGTGCAATACAGAGTACACACGGTACACAGTACACACGGTACATAGAACACACGGTACACAGTACACACGGTACACAGTACACACGGTACACAGTACACACGGTACACACGGTACACAGTACACACGGTACATAGAACACAGAGTACACAGTACACAGGCGTCGAGATGCATATGTTGGGAGCTTTGAATAATAAATTCAAATAAGAGAAAATATCCCTAAGAAAATAATGTTTCTTAGGGATAATTGACACTAATCCTATCGGAACATTCAAGGAAGGAAGAGGATATACAGCTACCACACTTGACACCCGGGTGACACGAGACTAACACTTGACACCCGGGTGACACGAGACTGACACTTGACACCCGGGTGACACGAGACTGACACCTGATGAAGACTAACGTTATTGTAACTCATCCTCTACTTGACACCGCATCATTCATACTAACTTCCACACTAAATTCCATTACAGTAAACCAGTACCACTATACTCCATCATATAACTCTAAGAATAATAAATATATTAGGATAAAAACCCATACTTGTGTATTTCGGAAACCATATTTCAGAATTTCATATTTCATGACCATATTTCCGTAGAAGACATTACCGTATGTAAATCGCCAGTCAGGGTAAGAGGTTACATGGTCAGGTCAAGAAGGATAAGAAAGATAACAGCCTCATTAGACGTTGAGACGTAAGTCTGGTCTTAATCACACACTCAGACCTTGACAAAACACTCAAGAGAGTGCCAAAGACTTGGTGAAAATTCCTTACATAAATTTCAGAAATATACAAGTGTGGGTTTTTATCCCACGTATGGGATAATATACATATGTTATTATGTATGTGAGAAGACATTACCATTACTAATAAATATATTATAACAATAATAAGTACAGTATATATATATATATATAAAAGGGGCGGTAGGAAAAGCAAATACTCATACGTATTTAGAGTCAAAGGGCATTTTTGTCTCTAAATGCTCTTTATTCTCTTCTCTGAGGCTATTGGTCCCTACAATTGCACTGTACAATTGAGAATATAATGCCACCGTGAAATGAGAGAGAGAGAGAGAGAGAAAGAGAGAGAAAGAGAGAGAGAGAGAGAGAGAGAGAGAGAGAGAGAGAGGAGAGAGAGAGAGAGAGAGAGAGAGAGGAGAGAGAGAGAGAGAGAGAGAGAGAGAGAGAGAGAGAGAGAGAGAGAGAGAGAGAGAGGGAGAGAGAGAGAGAGAGAGAGAAACAGCTCTTTAACTTGCAAGACAGATGCAGGAATTCATACTCTAATCCTGTGGTGCACTAAATGTCAGCTCAAAGTAATGATCAGAAGAGCTAGCCAACTAAGCCAGCATGAGCTATACACAGAGCCTTCGCCCGTCTCTACACAGCACGCACAAGCTCCCTTAATGACGAAGAAGATTAAGCCACCCAAGAGGTAGCATGGGCATGAATAGCCCGCAAGTGGTCGATTTGTTTTGGAGTGAAAGTGATCTTATGTCGTGAACAAGCTCCCTCAGTCACCACCACCTTGAATACTGACTTTCCCCTTTCAATCTGTTCATCTTATCCCTGAGAGGATTATCAACTACCCTCTTCTCCCCTTTGTTTTACGGGCTCACCATAGCCCGTGCTACTGGAACTTCTTGTTCTGAGTAGTTGAATCTAAAACAACAACAACAATAACCCCCTGTCACAAAACACACGCGCATCCCACACGCACGCAAATGAGTTTACCCTTTGTCGGTAAGAAACTGGCAAGAAAAAAAAATATGTGTATAGTTAGGCGTAGGTTAGGTTAGGTTAGGTTAGGTTAGGTTAGGTTAGGTTAGGCGTAGGTTAGGTTAGGTTAGGCGTAGGTTAGGTTAGGTTAGGCGTAGGTTAGGTTAGGTTAGGTTAGGTTAGGTTAGGTTAGGCGTAGGTTAGGTTAGGTTAGGCGTAGGTTAGGTTAGGTTAGGTTAGGTTAGGTTAGGTTAGGCGTAGGTTAGGTTAGGTTAGGTTAGGTTAGGTTAGGTTAGGCGTAGGTTAGGTTAGGTTAGGTTAGGTGTTTACTTTCTAATTGTAGATATTTGTATGTAGTCCGTGAGCGAAGAGGAGGTCTGAAGGCTGGGTTAACAAGCATCAATGTTTTCATAATGGTCTGGACGAGCACGGCCTAAGGCAGTCTGTCCTCGTCAACAAGTGCCAAATGCTCGTTAATCTAACCGCCACAACCCCTGATTGTCAATGACAAACACTACACAACACTCACAACTTAGGACGTTTGAGCATCTCGCGAAAAGTGCTTCACTGACGATCTCGTTTCGAATCAAATCGCTGTAAAGGCTTCACTCACGTACTACAAATACACATAACTGGCAACAGAATCTAATACGCCTAACCTATGATGAATTATTTACATAATTCTAATATATATGCTAATTTATGACAGTGTCAGACCACGGAGGAAGAATTGAAACAGGAATTTCCTTAAGTACTTTCGTATATTAATACATCTTCAGAAGGAGTCTCCTTCTGAAGATGTATTAATATACGAAAGTACTTAAGGAAATTCCTGTTTTAATTCTTCCTCCGTGGTCTGACACTGTCACATTTTTAATCACGTGTTTATTTTTCGTGATTTACACACACATGCTAATTTATATTTAAAATAATGTCAATTCTGAATACACAATACGTTTAAACTAATGAATTCAGTCTTGGAGTCTGTCGCCGCCTGGCCCCGCGGCGCCTGTGACCAGGTTGAGTCTATATTATACATACAAATAATCGCGGACATGCAGCCTGTTCTCGTAAGCGTTCCATAACCACAATACACAACCTTTGCACAACCACAAGCATCTTTATCTCCCCTTGAGTCCGAGCCTACAGGTAACACTCACCTCTGCCGGGGCTCCACACGCTAGGCTGATCCTTGAAGGACGGAAGGTCTGGAAGGTCGATCTTGGATGGTCCAGAGGCTCTGGTGCCTTCGTCCTCACTCCTCCCAGGGGACCAGACTCCTGCAGGAGCAGGCCAGGAGGAAGGCTGGGTTAGACCAAGACCTTTAACACCCATGTTAAGGTGTGTTTGGTGTATTTTCCGGTACGTGAGTGTGGTGGAGTTTGCTGGTGGTGGTTGTGGTGGTTCCTGAGGGAGGTGGTTGTGGTGGTTCCTGAGGGAGGTGGTTGTGGTGGTTGCTGACGTTGTTGATGGTGTTATCTGATTAATGGTGGATGGAGGTAGTGGTTGGCAGCTGTTGTTTTTGTCCTTTGTGGTTGGCAGTGGTGGTGAATGGCTGGTGTGGTGGCGGTGGTCGAAGGTAGTGGTCGTTCGATAGGGGTGGTTGGCTTGGCAGTGGCTGCAATGAGTGGTTGATGGTGGAGGCTGAAGGTGGCAGATAGTGGTCGTTGGAGGTTGTGGTTGGCGTTGATTAAGAGGGCGGCTGGTAGAGGTGGTGGTTGTGATGATGGTGAGGAGGGTACTGCTACTACTACTACTAATAATAATAATAACTTGTCTATAACAATAACCTGATGGTTACACCACAACCTGATAACCACACCATAACCAGCCGACCATACTATAACTAGACGACCACACCATAACTAGACGACCACACCATAACTAGACGACCACACCATAGCTAGACGACCACACCATAACTAGACTACACTAACCAGACGACCACACCACAACCAGACGACCACACCATAACTAGACTACACTAACCAGACGACCACACCATAACTAGACGACCACACCATAACTAGACTACACTAACCAGACGACCACACCATAACTAGACTACACTAACCAGACGACCACACCATAACTAGACGACCACACCATAACTAGACTACACTAACCAGACGACCACACCATAACTAGACTACACTAACCAGACGACCACACCACACCACACCACAACCAGACGACCAAACCACATCTAGACAGCTACACCATAAGCTGCTAGTTACACTATAATTACAGCAACACCTTACGACCAGCTTCTGAAGGATGATGAACAACATCTTCAAGTATACCACATTGCTCATAGGTAAAATAAAGTACACCACACGTTTGTAAAAGCTTAAATCACGTGTATATAAAAGAGACATCACGTGGACCTAAATAATCACCATTTGAAGCGTACTTAAAAAAAAAAAAATAGAATATATTTTTGTACATAAGTGGGTAGAGGAACAGACAACCTCTGACTCGTGTCAATTGGCTGAGAGCTTTCCCTTTGTTTGGAACACGATTCGCCAATTGGTTCACAACCATGTGCTCAATTACTACTGGGTGAACAGAGGCGAGCAGTTAAAAAGAGTGGTGCCTAGTGAATCCTCCCTGGCCAGGACTCGAACCCAGCTTGAGATCAGTGTTACCTAAATTTTCATCGTAGACACGGGTGCTTCACGCGTGTCCTTGAGGGTGTGACCTTGGAGTGTGACCTTGGGGCGTGAGAGGCAGCGATTAAGAGGGGAAACGAGAGAGGGGAAGGTGGAAGTGGAAAAAAGCAGTGATGGAAAGAAGGTGAGAGGGAGGGGGAAGGATGGTGAGGGGGAGGGAGGGGGAAGGATGGTGAGTAGGGGGAAGGGTGTGATATAAGATAGGGGGTGGGTGTAAAGGTGGTGTCAGTAGGAGTAGTTGGCACGGGAGTAGGGTGAGGTAAGAGTAGAGGGGAGTGGGCGGAGGAACCCTCTCCACTCTTCCTAGAGGGGGGGGAGGGAGGGTGTGAGGAACTTCTACCCAGGTCTCGCCCTGTCGTCACCTCCACCCAGACTTCCACCAGGTAAACAAGCAAGCACTTGGGTAAACTAAGATGAGGGGGGGGGGGCGTCAGGTGGTGCCTGTGCCAGGTGGTGCCTGCGCCAGGTGGTGCCTGTCTCAGCTGGTGCCTGTCTCAGGTGGTGCCTTATCCTGAATTTCCCCACAGAAGTCCACAACCTCTCTCCATTACCTGAGCCACTCTACCCTCTTCTTTAACCTCCCTTACCCAAACCAAACCATCCCACCCCAAACCCCTCCCTCCCTCCCCAACGCTTGATCCCTACCACAGTGGTTGCCAGGATCAGGTTGGGTTACCGTTACCTGTGGCAGGTGGCTACAGGTGACGGGTCTCCCAATCCTGAGCACTCCAAGGGCAAACTCTGTGAGCAGGAACTGTGGCATGATCTCCCACACTACATCATCAAATGCCCAGTTATTAGACCTTTCAGACCCGTTGGCATGAGGTACCTGGAGCTTAGCAAATTATTGCTTTATTAACTCTCGTGCTGTTGATGATATCCTCATAATGCACCCAGAGTCTGCCAGTGCAAACTACTGATCACATGCCTCTGTATGACTAACCATCCTGTGTGGTGAAGACGTTTAGCATCACGTAGCTAGTTCCTGACACACACTGTACTCCCCTTCATATAGTCTATGGCAGCTAGTTCTTGACACACATTGTACTCCCCTTCATATAGTTTAGGGTAGCTAGTTCTTGACACACACTGTACTCCCCTTCATATAGTCTAGTGAAGCTAGTTCTTGACACACACTGTACTCCCCTTCATATAGTTTAGGGTAGCTAGTTCTTGACACACTGTACTCCCCTTCATATAGTCTAGTGAAGCTAGTTCTTGACACACACTGTACTCCCCTTCATATAGTTTAGGGTAGCTAGTTCTTGACACACTGTACTCCCCTTCATATAGTCTAGTGAAGCTAGTTCTTGACACACACTGTACTCCCCTTCATATAGTCTAGGGCAGCTGCCAAAATGCTAATGTATCTGAATGTGTTAATAAAAAAATGGACTCCTGAAGTACCAGAATTTAGCTCGACCGTATATCGCCATCACTGAACAGAGCGGCTGATTTGGCTTACGTCTTGCGTGCGTGCGTGCGTGCGTGCGTGTGTGTGTACTCACCTAGTTGTGGTTGCGGGGGTTGAGCTTTGGCTCTTTGGTTCCGCCTCTCAACCGTCATTCAATGTACTTAATCACACACACACAATCAATGTGTGTGTGTGTGGGGGGGGGGTGTATGTGTGTGCGTGCTCCTCAAGAACTTTTTTTACCGAAACAAGTCCACAAAAAACTTTACATGTCGTTTTAAACTAACAATTTAAGAATTTCTATATTTACATTAATGATACTTTTTCCGTCATCTTATTTTGTATTTAATTTCTTGTGCAGATAAAATCGAATAATTAAAAGACGATTTAAAGGTTAAAAAAATGTCCTCCAAGGAGCAGTAAGCGTTTAACACATTTTCGGAGCAGACATATAAGAGGGTCCAAGGATCTCTGATCGAATCTGTCAGTTTAGAACCAAAGTCTCTAAGTCACCATTGATCCAAGGCGCACAATAGGCCTGGCAGTGTTTATTTAGGCCTAGAATAGGGTTAGGTTATATAGTGTCTGTTTCACCTATTTTTTTTAGCATGAAATGTAGAGTATATCAATGTACAAAACGCGAGCATTTTTTGTTTGCTTAGAACAATCCATTTTCGTACAATCAATCATAGTCGGTATAAGTACTATCATTTTTGGAGGGCTGGATAAAGGTTCCAGCTACAACTGAAGATATATTAAATTGTTTCGTCGGGGACAGGAAGCCTTTGTGTGTGTGTGTGTGTGTGTGTGTATATATATATATATATATATATATATATATATATATATATATATATATATATATATATATATATATATATATATTATTAAATATGACCGAAAAAGTAAGATTAATAATTCTAACACGAATTTTCTCAATCTTTCGTACATTACGCTTCACTGTTGGAGGTAAATCAAAAATCACTTCTCCAAAATTCATTTTTATTTCTAGTCTGACGCGACACGGGCGCGTTTCGTAAAACTTATTACATTTTCAAAGACTTCACAAATACACAACTGATTAGAACTTACGTATCTCTGAGTTTATATCTACATTTGAGTGAGGTGGGAAGGGTGATGTGGCATTAGAACAAGATGGGATATTAATAGGGTATTAAAAGTATCAACACAAGACAGAACAGAAACAATGGGAATTGAATAGGAGTGTTTGTAGAAAGCCTATTGGTCCATATTTCTTGATGCTTCTATATTGGAGTGGAGTCTTGAGGTGGGTAGAATATAGTTGTGCAATAATTGGCTGTTGATTGCTGGTGTTGACTTCTTGATGTGTAGTGCCTCGCAAACGTCGAGCCGCCTGCTATCGCTGTATCTATCGATGATTTCTGTGTTGTTTACTAGGATTTCTCTGGCGATGGTTTGGTTATGGGAAGAGATTATATGTTCCTTAATGGAGCCCTGTTGCTTATGCATCGTTAAACGCCTAGAAAGAGATGTTGTTGTCTTGCCTATATACTGGGTTTTTTGGAGCTTACAGTCCCCAAGTGGGCATTTGAAGGCATAGACGACGTTAGTCTCTTTTAAAGCGTTCTGTTTTGTGTCTGGAGAGTTTCTCATGAGTAGGCTGGCCGTTTTTCTGGTTTTATAGTAAATCGTCAGTTGTATCCTCTGATTTTTGTCTGTAGGGATAACGTTTCTATTAACAATATCTTTCAGGACCCTTTCCTCCGTTTTATGAGCTGTGGAAAAGAAGTTCCTGTAAAATAGTCTAATAGGGGGTATAGGTGTTGTGTTAGTTGTCTCTTCAGAGGTTGCATGGCTTTTCACTTTCCTTCTTATGATGTCTTCGATGAAACCATTGGAAACCATACAACTGACGATTTACTATAAAACCAGAAAAACGGCCAGCCTACTCATGAGAAACTCTCCAGACACAAAACAGAACGCTTTAAAAGAGACTAACGTCGTCTATGCCTTCAAATGCCCACTTGGGGACTGTAAGCTCCAAAAAACCCAGTATATAGGCAAGACAACAACATCTCTTTCTAGGCGTTTAACGATGCATAAGCAACAGGGCTCCATTAAGGAACATATAATCTCTTCCCATAACCAAACCATCGCCAGAGAAATCCTAGTAAACAACACAGAAATCATCGATAGATACAGCGATAGCAGG